AGAGCATCATTGATGTCCATGGATGGATAATGCATCTGATGGATGGATTCAATTTAATTCAGTTTATTTATAAAGCGCCAAATCAGGACCAGAGTCGTCTCAAGGTCCTTCACACAGTAAACACTCTAATTCAGGTCAGGTCATTCAGCCAATCAGTACAGAGTTTCCTACATAAGGAACCCAGCAGGTTGCATCGAGTCACTGACTAGTGTCAGAGTCTTTACAGCAATCCTCACACTAAGCAAGCATAAAGCGACAGTGGAGAGGAAAAGTCCCTTTTAACAGGAAGAAGGCCCTGCATAGATTACAGAGGACTGAACCAGATTTCTGTTAAAAAAACAAGTATCTTTTGCCCCTGCTGTCATCAACCTTCGAGCCCATTCAGGACTCGGTGATTTTCACCAGGTTAGATCTCAGAAATGCGTACCATTTGGTACGTATACGTCAGGGTGATGAGTGGAAAACAGCTTTTAAGACACCCTTAGGACATTTTGAATATTTAGTCATGCCGTTTGGGCTAACCAATGCACCCGCTGTCCGTGGATGTGGGACCATGAACAGGGACGACGGAGTTTACACGCTGGACCACGCATGGGACTGCATCGTCGGAGAGGGGAGAGCGGGCAGTAGAGGGCGACAACGTCCTCTGCTGCCCGCAGATAAACAGAGAAGGAAGTGACGCCACCATCAGCGTCAGCCTGAAGAAGCTGGCAGCCGTCGGCGAAACGTTGCGTCAACAACAGGGAACAAAACCGTTTCTGTGTTTTAAAAAAGAACGACAACATGGAATTAGAACGACACAGCAAGAACACACCTAAGATGTTCAAAGAGAAATACGGACACCAAGGAACGAAGGACTTCTGCCGTTTGGAACGATTACACCAGAAACGCGCACGTCTAAGAAACCACCTTCGCTTCTGTTTAAGATGCCGGGACGAAAACATCACACCCACAAGCCTACAGCTGAAAACATCGATCCGGACCCAGACAGCACAAAATATAATAGAAAGAGCACAGAGAGCACTGCTCAAGGAGAGGATAAGGAACGTCATAACCAAACAGAGGCGTGTGGAGGACGAACTGGAAAGAGGACACCTGGACTTGAAAAGGAATTACAAACTTGATAAACAAATGGAGGAACTAATTAAAGGACACATGATGGAAAAACAGGAAAAAGAGTTCATAAAAGTAAAAGAAAGACACATAAAGAAGTTAAACAAACTCATGAACAAGAAAAAGAGGGGAGAAATACAAGGTAACTCCACACCAAACTCATGGGTATGTAACATTTCACAATACAAACTAACAGAAGCAGAAGAAAGTATTAAAAACAGGTTTAAACTTTGCAGTCACACTAAAAGAAATACCATATGATGAATTTATTGTAGCAACAGAACTAGCATGTCAACAGATCACAGATGAGGGAACGAAAGCAGAACTCAGAAATAACATAGTTGGTATATTAAAAACAATCAGCCATGACAGCTTTATCCAAAAATGAACAGATAATTATTCTACTGGCAGATAAAGGAAGAACCACAGTAGTTATGGACAGAGAAAAATATAAACAACAGATGAACCAGATGCTAGAGGACAAAAATACATACGAAATACTTAAAAAAGAGCCAACAGAAAACATTAAGAAAAACATGAAAAAATTACTGAAGCCACTACAAGAAAAAGGCAAAATAACAGAAAAAATGTACAAACACTGGATTCCCACAGCAAACATAACACCAAGAATCTATGGAACGCCAAAAATACATAAACAAAACACCCCACTTAGACCAATAGTTGACAGCATGGGTACACCAACATACAACATGGCAAAAGATATCAGCAGAATCATCAGCCCGTTATTAGGAAATACAGACCAACACTGCAAAAACAGTATAGAACTGGCAAAAGAACTAAAGGAAATTACAATAGAAGATAACGACATACTCATCTCACATGACGTCACATCTCTGTTCACAAAAACACCAACCCAAAAAACCATAGACATAGTAGTTAACAGAATCAGACAAGACAAAACTTTACACAAAAGGACAAACCTCACAGCAGATGACATAGCACAACTGATAGCACTGGTAGCTAACTCCACTTACTTCACATACGACAACACAATATACAAACAACTGGAAGGCTTCGCCATGGGTAACCCGTTATCAGCCACCCTGTGCCAGTTTTCATGGAAGACGTGGAACAAAAAACCATCGCCACCGCCCCCCCCCAAACTGCTGAATAAAACTATGGAAACGCTACGTAGACGACATACTGGAAATCATACCAACAGGACAAACAGAAACACTAACACAACACTTGAATAACATGGACGACACGGGCAGCATAAAGTTCACTTATGAGTCAGAAACAGAAGGCAGCATAGCTTTTATGGACATGAAAATCACCAGGCAGACCGACGGGACCCTAAACATAAACACATACAGGAAACCAACACACACAGACCAATATCTATCATGGACATCAGAACACCCCACCATACACAACATGTCAGTAATCAGAACATTATATCACCGAGCAAACATGGTAACAGAAGAGAGAGACCGTAAACAAGAGGACAAACACATACAACACGCTTTAAAGACCTGCGCATACCCGACATGGGCAATAAACAAAGGAAAACAACAAACAACAACAATAGAAAAGAACAACCAAAGCAAAGAACCAGAAACCCAGAAAGACAAGAACCAGAACCAGTGATAACCCTACCATACATCAGAGGCATAACAGAAAAAATAAGAGCAACAATGAAAAAACACAACATAAACACACCAACAAAACCATACACAACAGTTAGAAACAGATTAGTGCACCCAAAAGACAAAATACCAGCTGGACTTAAATGTGGAGTCGTTTACGAAATCCCATGCAAACTCTGCAGTAAAACATACATAGGAGAACCCGGACGCCAACTCAACACACGAACAATAGAACATAGAAAGGAGTGTGAGAAAGAAACAAGTCGAAAACACACAAGAGCAGCAAAAGAAGAAGCAGAAAGTACAATAAAGAAGTCAGCCGTAACAGATCATTGCTTAAGAGAAAACCATATAATGAACTGGGACAGCACAAGGATCATAAACACCGAACAACAAAAATACAAAAGATGGATGAAAGAAGCAATCGAGATAAGGAGACGTGGATGTGGGACCATGAACAGGTGATGGAGTTTACACGCTGGACCACGCATGGGACTGCATCGTCGGAGAGGGGAGAGCGGGCAGTAGAGGGCGACAACGTCCTCTGCTGCCCGCAGATAAACGGAGAAGGAAGTGACGCGCCACCATCAGCGTCAGCCTGAAGAAGCCGGCAGCCGTCGGCGAAACGTAGCGACAACAACAGGTAACAAAACCGTTTCTGTGTTTTAAAAAAGAACGACAACATGGAGACTCAACCCCCAGACAGTATCGGTGGTCCCTCTTTTTCTCTCGTTTTAACTTTGTGATTTCTTATCGACCACGGCACAAGAAGACTAAACCAGACTCCCTTTCTCGGCAGTTTGCCCCCGATCAGGAGACTGAACCTGCCACCATCCTGCCTCCTGAGTGTGTCGTTGGAGGAGTGACTTGGGAGATCAGGGACCAAGTGCTTCAGGCCCAGCAAACCTACCCAGACCCTGGAAATGGACCCCCGAATAGAGTGTTTGTGCCACAGGGCATGCGTGGCAAGGCAATCTATTGGAGCCATACAGGGCGGTTCGCAATCCATCCCGGAGTAGGACGCACAGTGGCGCTCCTGCGGAGAACCTTTTGGTGGCCTACATTGTACCAGGACGTTAAGAGTTATGTGTCTGGTGTTCACACTTGTGCCCAGCAGAAGGGGGAAAACAGATCGCCTGCAGGTCTTTTAAATCCCCTACCCACACCCTTGCGGCCGTGGTCTCATATAGCACTGGACTTTGTTTGTGGTTTACCTGTCTCTCATGGTTTTAACACTGTTCTCACTATTGTTGATAGGTTTTCAAAAGCATGTCACCTTGTTCCTTTAAAATCTCTTCCCTCTGCCGCCGTTACAGCTCAGTTGGTCATTAAACATGTGTTTCGTCTCCACGGCATTCCGGAGGAGATTTTGTCAGACCGAGGCCCCCAGTTTGTGGCACGGGTCTGGAAAGACTTTGCTGAGACTCTGGGGGCTCGTGTCGCGCTCACATCTGGCCACCATCCACAGACTAACGGCCAGTGTGAGCGCATGAATCAAGAACTGGGGTCGATGCTTCGCTGTGTGTGCTCCACCCATCCTACTACATGAAGCTCTCATCTCGCCTGGGTGGAGTACGTGCATAACAGTCACACATCCACAGCCACAGGTCAGTCACCGTTCGAAGCATCTTTAGGGTACCAGCCCTCTCTGTTTCCTCTACAGTCTTCCACAGCTATCACAGTGCCACAGTTCCTCAGGGGTGCCAGGCGTGCATGGGTTTCTACCCGGGCAGCGCTGGGTAGGACGGCGAGCAGGAATAAGCAGCTGGCTGATCGCCGGCGGTGACCAGCGCCTGCTTACTCCCCAGGATAACGGGTTTGGCTGTCATCAAATGACATTCCTCTGAAGGCAGCCAACCGCAAGCTCACCCCTCGGTTTCTGGGACCATTTGAGATACTGGATGTACCAACCCCTTCCACCGTGCATCTGGATCTTCCACGAACTCTAAAGGTGCATCCAGTATTCCATGTGTCGTTGGTGAAACCTCTAGGCTCCAGTCCGCTGTGCCTGGTTCCTGCACCTCCCCCTCCAGCTAGACTCTACAAGGGAGGGTTGGTGTACACAGTCTACCGGATTCTGGACTCTCGGCCCCATGGGAGGGGCTTACAGTATCTGGTTCACTGGGAGGGATATGGACCGGAGGAACGTTCGTGGGTTCCTCGCTCATTCATCGAAGACCCTTCCCTCATCCAGGAGTATGAAGGGTCGGTTAGGACGCCAGGGGGCATCCGTTGACGGGGGGGGGGGGGGGGGGGGGGGGGGGGTACTGGCATGAG